TTGTTTATTTGGTTTACTGTTCTCTGTGCCAAGGAAGCTGTGGCAGCAAACCCTGAATTGCCAGATTCCTTTGCTGAACTTCCCCAACAAAAATCTGATAAACATTAAATAGAACAAATTATGTATTGTTACCATCTCACATTTGATATTGTACAAAAACTGAGTCCTATAATGGTGCTCGAAGCTGTGTCCAGGTTTGGTATGAGTAGAAGATAAATTTTAAACTGAATGTGATACCCCATGCTAATAAAATGAGAGAGATGTTCACTCAAATTTACATGGCTGGCATATTTATTGCCATTATCTAATGGTACAGAAGGTCCATACTCAGATAGAAAAGAAGTTTTGGAAGAGAAATGAATCCACATCGTATTTGAGGCAAACCTAAGATATAAAAACTCTACGTTTTTTTTGTTTTGTTTTGTTTTAAGACAACCTATTACCTGCTGAGCTAAAAAAGTAATTCTTAATGAGTACCAGTCTCAGATTGTTGCTTCAGCATTTATATCAATCAAACTTTTTTCTGCCAATCTGTTGGATAGTAGTTCATCATTCTAAGATTCGATATGTTACATGCACAAATTAGTATACAATACGTCTTTTTTAAATGAAACCTTATTTAATTGTCTCACCGTATAACTGTTTGTAATAGAGTAGAGGTGCCCAGCCTTTTATTACAATGAGGGCGGTATTGGAAACTTGGCAGAAATTTGAGATTCATACTCAATTTGCATGTACATTTATGTTTTTAAAATAGGAGATACTCAGTGAAATCCAGCAGTTCAATTTTTTTTAACCCTGTAAATGAGTTTTAACTTGGAGCTAGTTTAGGGTAATGTGTGACATCACATTGTGCACTTTTGCCATAACTTCTTTATTAAAATGTTCAAGGTTTCAGCTCTGAAGCAAGTGTGTAATAGAATTTAAGTGGGGAGAAAAGTCTTACAATGTTTAAAAAAAAAAAAAAAAAAAGCCATGATCCTTTACAGACAACTTATCTGTATTACTGTAAATTAAGAACTGGTGTGTTCAGAAGTGATATTTTTGCATGTCTTTATGCTATTTACACTATTGAACTTCTGGGGGAAATGTATGTAAATATTCTGTATGGAAAAGTGTTGCACATACGTATTAGTTAGGGGTGGTTTTTTCCAAAAGGCTTTCAGTAGTCAAATTTAGGGTCCAGTCCTGCAAGCACTCTGTGCATAAAATTCACTGCCAGAATTGGGCCCTTTGTAACTCTTGGTTCCTGCCTTGGGTCTCCTGTAAATGAGCTTGTTATACCATTATTGATTCCTTATTAGGTGGTGTCACTTTAGTTCTCCCCTTGCAGAGGTCTCTGTGTCTCTCTGAACAAGCTCTCTCTGCAGTTCCAGGCAGTCCCCTGTTCTATGTCCAAGACTGTGCCTCTTTCCTAGTGGCTGATGGGGAACCCGGGCCTGCCCTCTACTGCAGGCGGGGGTGCTGGCACAATTTGTATAGTGGGGGTGCTGAGAGCCACTGAACCAAACTATAAACCCTGTATGTAATGGAAACCACTTCAAGCCAGGGGTTGCAGTAGCACCCCTAGTTCCAGCACCTATGACTCCAGGTGCCAGCCCAGGGACCCTGTGCTCTGCACTATGATCTACTTGCTCCCAGCCCTGGTTACTACTTCCCTAGGCTCTGTCCTACTCCCTCATTCTATCCTCTGGTACCTCTGGGTTTGCCCCCATCTAAGCTTCCTCTTCTCCCTATGACTGCTTCCCCCTTTGGCTTCTTGCTGGACTCTGTAATCTGACAAACCTCCCTTCTGTCAGAAAGTGATTGATTACACGCAGTTTCCCCCTCTCCCCCTTCTGTTCTCAGCTTCTTAGCTTTATAAGCGCCCCCACCTGTTCCTGCCCAGGTGAGCTTCATCCTTAATTAAGCTTTATTGATCCCTAGTTTCCCTTTAGGTGCAGCCTATGTGTTTAGTTGGCCCATCTAACCTACCTTTAACCCCTTCAGGATTGGTGTGGGTGAACACCCATGTTACTAAATTGTGTTTTAAAGCCTGTAAAGGTAATGGATCAAATTAATCTCTGGTGCAACTCCATTGTAGTCAAGACTTTAACATAAAAACTAGACTCTAGTATTTTTCTTCTATTTAAAATGACTAATTTAATGTTTGAGTCCTCACTTTAAAGTTGGATTTACTCTTTAATAGGCCACGTTTCACACCCCATTTAGTGAACTCGGCCAGAGTCCAGAAGGATGTTCTTCTTACATGTTTCCAAAGATAATGGGCTTATCCAAGGTAAGAGAACACAAGTCTGTACTTTAACTCAGTGCTTTCCGCCTAGGTTAACTGAACTCCAGTTTTCCTCAGTAGTGCCATCCAGCTACATGAGTGAGAAGGGTGACTGTGGGAGAGTCGTTTAAATGGAGCCCACTCCCATTGTGGTTTGCACTCTGCTTAATAAAACTTTCATTTTTTTTAAACATGAGGAAAGTAGTCAAATAGTAGCATCATGGGCACTGAAATAAAGAGAAAACTGAATATCAAAACTAAAGAAAAAAATCCACAGCCAAAGGTATGCAACCTTTCTCTCTCTCTCCCCTTTTCCCCCCAAATCATGTGTCTCAGCTTTCACTGAGGGCTTGCATCTTTCCTCCAGCAGTGCCAGGGCAGTTGTAAAGTTGTCAGGAAGGATATTGCACTAAAAAGCACCCCTCAGCTGAGCACCTCTGTCAGGCAGGGAGCAGTAGTTGTAGGTACTCCTGCTGAACCTTTGGGAAAACTATATATTCAGTCTTTCCTCAGTTTTGTTAGGAAGCTTTTTCACAAATTCCAGAACCTTTCTCTACTACCTGGTAATGGCTGAGTTATTTGTTAGTCTCCTATCCACAGACTCAGGCATTTCTCTCTTCTGAGCCTGCAGTAGGAATAAAAAAAATCCAATAAAAAGGCTTAAATGCACACAATCAAAATAGAGCAGCTCTTATCTTCCTATTATAGTTGCATAATTCCCAATAGCTGTTATTTAGGTATGCCACAGTGATAGTTCTGGCAGTTTTAAATAGCTGTATCAGGTATATATTGCGCCTTTATGTTAACAACATTTCTCAATATAAATTATGACGATTTTGTACAGTACATAGGGAAATGGGTGCTTTATAGTCACTAGGAAGACAAGGATTATCTCTTTAGCAATTTACAGAGTGCCAGTCCCTGTTCTGGAGAATTTAGAATAGCTGAGTAAGTAACAATTAGTTTTGACATTAGCTAATCTGGGATGATCTTAGAGGGGACGGCCCTTCCTGTGCCAGATTCTCTGACAGCTGTACAGCTACCCACAATGCTCTGGGATGCAATCCCTCAGTGCATACCTATGGCCAAACCCTTTCCAGAGAACAGAAATTAACGGGCAACATTTAAGTTTCCTTTTCTACTATGAAAAGGAGCATTGTAAAATGGAGGTTTATGTTTCTCTATTTTTCTTTCTAGTTTCTTAATTCTTGTGTTTTATTAGATTGACAGCCTTTTGTTTTCTTTCATGTAGGCAAACGAGATGCTTCTTTTTAACAAGAAGTTGACTGCAGGGGAAGCATATGCCCAGGGACTTGTGACTGAGGTTTTCCCTGACTGGACTTTTGAAAAGGAAGTTTGGATAAGACTTAAAGCTTATGCAAATCTCCCCAAAAACGTTAGTATTTTAAAATTGTGTATATACAGCCTGTAACAAGAGAGAGTTCCCGCTCTTATGAGCAGACATTTTAACAGGGTACTATATAGAGTCCAAACTTACCATTTTGGGGTTTGGCTTTATTGGTAATTGAAAAAATAACAAACCTCAACCTAAGTGGTGTTCTCAAGCTTGGTTGTTCCTATGGTTTTCCCTCCAGGAATTAATGTCACAGTTGCCTCAGTCCCAGAGGCTATCCTGGTTGAAGTTGGCAAGATGCACTTGCATTTATGGCTCATCACTTTTCATTCAAGTACCTTTAAGAAATGAGCTGTTAAATGAGCTTGAAAATTATGTGCATTTGCCTTGGATGCTAACTCCTGCAGGGTTTACAGAGATACTGGTTTCAACAGCTTTTTTTATTTATTTAATAGTTACAAGTTTGCTACAACTGCTGTCATGCGGGATATTCATTTTACTGACTTACCTAGGAGTGGTACCTTCAGCACCTTCAAAAGTGGATTACTACACAAACCAACAAACTACCTACAGAAAAAAAATCCTGAATCTCTGCACACACATTTCTCTCCCGAAAAGAAAATAACCTACATCCATAGTCCATCTCTTTTCTGACTGCTTGGAAATGTGTAGAAAAACATAATGAGCTGGTCTCATAATACACTCTCATACCAGCAGTTTATAAAACTCAATTTATATTTGGAGCTGCAGGTAGTCTAACAAATTCCCAATTCACTCTTGTCTGTCCACACACATTCTGGGCATTGACTGGATGGATGTATTGTTCCTCCTGAAACCACACCCTACTAAGTAGTCTTAGCAGCAGTTAAAACAGAGGCCCCTGTGTAAAATGCCAAATTAAATTAAAAATCTAACTGGACTACAGTTCAGTTTAGATACTGCATATTGAGTGCTTCTCACATGCTACTTTTCAGAATGCTGAGCTGAGGGAATGTGTAGAATAACATAACTTGTACTATGTATGCATCCCAAATTGTGAGCTTTTGTTTTGTTTTGTTTTTTCTTCTCCCAGTCTTTGGCTCTGTCAAAGCAGTTAATACGAGGTGTGGAAAAGGAGAAGCTGCATGCAGTTAACTGTCAAGAGTGTGAACTCCTCAGGGAAAGGTGGTTATCTGACGAATGCATGAATGCTATTATGAGCTTCTTTGGGAAGAAATCAAAACTGTAATTTTTATTGTTGGTGAAGATCAAACTCCTGGAGCTCATCTGTTTATCGTCATTGAAAGGATTTTAATAAGTGAATACTCATTTGGGGGGGTAAATCCTAGTTGTGCCTTTTTATTGATGTTGATTATTACTGTATTAATTATTATATAGAAACAATTTAATAAAAATGTTAACTTGTAAGTTTTATCTTTCTGTGGCCTGACATTCTGTATTCAGACATGAATTTGTGATGCCAAACACATTGGATCCTTCTGCCTGGGTCATTGGCTGGGAAAGCGTTCATTGCTTTACATGCTGAAATGATGTCTTTGAATATAACTACAGCTGTTTGTCTTCCAGAAGGTGTCACGGATTCAATAGCACCGAATCTTGATAGTTCTTGGATAACTGAGTGATAGTCATATGATGCTAATATGTTTCTTTTTATCCATCTAATACAAAAAATGAAATATTGTATAAGTATAAAATAAATATTAATTGCAGCTCATTATTGCTTTGGTAGAGTGACATGAAGGGAAAAGGTCCTATTACTTTAAATAATTCCCTGAGGTTTTGTTGATGTTACCTTATTTCTTGGGCTTCCAAGTGAATACTGTTGTTTAAAAGATGTTCACCTGGCAGGCATTATAGAGATCTTCTCGTTTTATATTTATTTCCAATGTTAGAAATAACCTCTTGCCTAAGGCTGGAGCACTAAAAAGCTTGAAACTGCAGGAGATTTTTTAAAATGCTGTAAAGCTCAAATCTGGTATTTTCAAAAGAGAATAGAAAAAGTGGTTGCATATCTGCATATTATCAGGGCAGCACATCCTGCATTGCAAGCTGCTGCTCTGGCAGATCTCAGCATGTGACCTACAGGCAATGTTTCCATGCCTATTTGTGACCAGTATGGCCACTGTTGAATCCACACTTTAGATGAAACCATTATACAGTCAACCACATGCCTCATTCTGACTGTCCAGGCTAGGACAAGCTCCCTAGCCATTTGCTTATCAGTAGCTGTTAGTAATGCTATGTGAGAATAACTTTGTCAACTGCAGGCACAAACCGGCTCATTCAACTTGATTGTGTTCAGGAAAGATATAATTATAAAAATGTCTGATGGCATTTTGAGGAGTCTTAATTCCTTCTATTCAAGACTTGTATCTTAAAAGGACACATTTCATAGAGGGTGAAATGCACTTAATTTAGGCCCAATATGTAGTTGTTTTTTAAAGGGAATTACGAATCCTAACTACAACAGAAAATGATGTCATGGATTTAAAAATGTGGCCAGGATTTTGTCCATTAACTTCTTTTAAGTTAACTGACTGAAGTGGGAACAGGATTTTACCCAGTGTATTTTGAACAAATCCAGTTTCCTGAGGGGTTTGAAACCATATACAACAGCATTGAGCTGTCTCGTGAGATTCAAAGAAACTGCTGTGTAGTTTTAGCACATAAGATGAACAAAGTGCAAAAAGTAAATGGCATTAAAGGTGGAAAGTAATTTGTTTTAATAATCAAAGGTTTCAGCAACATAGGTAGATTGAAAAAAATTCTTCTTGTCTGTTCTAGAAAACATCAACAAGCCTTAAATTATATGATTGTGACATGCCAACAAAATGTAGCCTGACATACCTGCTCTAAATTCTTGTGCATCTCTGCCTCGATACTTGGTAAAAGCACATGAGACAGGCGCACTGGCCTTCACTTAATTTCCAGCCTCTTGTTAGTTTATCATAACCGTAACACTATAAATATACCGAGCCAAATTCATCCCTGATGTATCTCCACTGAAGGCAATGGAGTTACAACGGGATGAATTTGGTCCATTTAAGTGGTACTGAAATACGTGGAAAGGAACAGGGAGAAGGGAGTGAACTAGAGAGGTCCTGCTAATTTATCATAAATTTCACTTTAAAAAAACAAAAACAAAAAAACATTGCAGACAAGGGAATTCAACAGACAAGAAAGTTGCCTTCATGCATAACTATAATTAACAGTATTTAAAAATAATAAAGTTGATGTACTTAGTCTCTTTGACAAGCAACTGCACATTTTCCTATTATGTCAAAATCTTGACCACATGTATGAAGTCATAATGACTAATGGGTGTTATGTTAATAAGTTATTGTGATATAAAAGACTCAATTTAACAGAACTGAAGCAAAAGAGTGCCCTTTCTCTTTTTGTCTGATCCTCCTTCCCCAGCTGAGCAAGCCAGAGCCAAATTCTTCACCACCCTAGCAATAGTTTCTGTAGGGAAAGCAAAATTGATTGGTAGAGCAAGAGTGCGTTAGAGCTGCTAACCTTTTTGCAAATAAGCGTAACTGATAGCTAATTGCATATTATATCCACTGGAGCGCTCTGCTATTATAAAACCGGTCACTTGGCGAGTCTTCAGATTCTCCAACAGGAATAACAGGAAACCATCTGTAGCATTATATGCCCCAGAAAATCTGTTGGCTGCAGGAGTCCTGGCTCATCACAATTCCATTGACTTGTTCAAGGATCATACGATTTAAAAGGATCTTGTGAAGACTGGTAGGTCAAACACTTGAACTGCTTTGGAGCGCAGGGATGTAATTGCAGATATCTGCATATGACCACCCCAGCTTTTTTGTAATATGAAGTGGTCAGTTTTCTGATATGCTTAGGGCTCCCCCACCCCTGCTTTTTGCAAATTTCACTGTTGCCTCTATACTAGAATGAGACAGAATGGCACAGTTGGGGAAAACTTTGTACATTTGTGCCAGCAATCGTGTTGGGGAAACAGGGCACAGACTAGCTAGTGTAAAGTCAAAACTAATGCAAGGGATTATGTTTTTATTAAGTCATCCGAGCCAAAGACAGCAGGAAGCTGTAACTGAACTACTGATGCAGCTTTTTAGAGGGTAGATAATTGTTCTTCTCAGCCTGTTTATTGTTATAAAAAAACCACAAGCCAGTTGTGTTTAAAATAGTCCTGTACCTATAGCACCATGTGCTGATTGTTACCTGATAGCTAGGCGAAGAGGTGCATCAATCACATGAATTGGGAGCCTTTCAGCTTACTGGATTCTGAGCTTGGGGCTTTGCAGCAAGGTTGCTGGAAAACACCTTTTCTAATGATGAGCAAGCTGGTTGCAGCAGCTTCCAGCACAGCATGTCTGTTGAGACCACCATGGCATCTAAACCTCTCAAATGAGAGGAATCAGGAAGTCTGCAGGAAAGGATGTAGAAATTTTCATGTACCAAATGCTGAGTAATAACATGAAGGGACACCATGTTTCTAAAACTAAACTGACTCTCTTTATTCAGAGATACTGCAGCTAGCGTTCTAGCCCACATGCATAAGAAGTGTGTTCATGGTGCCTCCACCACATTTTCCTTCTGCAACCTGTGCTCTTCCCTCCAAGTTCCATGCTGGTTGCTATTAGGGCTGTCAAGCAATTAAAAAAATTAATCGTGATTAATCGCACTGTTAATAATGGAATACCATTTATTTAAATATTTTGGATGTTTTCTACATTTTCAAATATATTCAATTACAACACAGAATACAAAGTGTACAGTGCTCACTTTATATTTATTTTTATTACAAATATTTGCATTGTAAAAAAGAAAAAATACTATTTTTCAAGTCACCTAATACAAGTACTGTAGTGCGATCTCTTTATCATGAAAGTTGTCTTACAAATGTAGAATTATGTACAAAAAAACCCATTCAAAAATAAAACAATGTAAAATTTTAGAGCCTGCAAGTCCACTCAGTCCTACTTTTTGTTCAGCCAATCACTCAGACACAAATTTATTTACATTTGCAGGAGATAATGCTACCCGCTTCTTCTTTACAATGTCACCTGAAAGTGAGAACAGGCGTTTGCATAGCACTGTTGTAGCCAGCGTCGCAAGATATTTATGTGCCAGATGCACTAAAGATCACATGTTCCTTCATGCTTCAACCACCATTGATTGAGGACGTGTGTCCATGCTAATAAGGGGTTTTGCTCAATAACCATCCAAAGCAGTGCGGACTGATGCATGATTCATCATCTGAGTCAGATGCCACCAGCAGAAGCAGGAGCGCCGCCACCTTTCTGCCACCCCCCACAGAAGCGGCAGAAGGTCCTGCTGCCGAAATACTGCCGTGGTCGCCGCCCCCCAAATTGTAGCGCCCTAGGCGACCGCCTAGGTCGCCTAATGGGTTGCGCCAGCCCTGAACAGAAGGTAGATTTTTCTTTTTTGGTGGCTTGGGTTCTGTAGTTTCCGCATCGGAGTGTTGCTCTTTTAAGACTTCTGAAAGCATATTCCACACCTCGTCCCTCTCAGATTTTGGACGGTACTTCACATTCTTAAACCTTGGGTCAAGTGCTGTAGCTATCTTTAGAAATCTCACATTGGTACCTTCTTTGCATTTTGTCAAATCTGCAGTGAAAATGTTCTTAAAATGAACATGTGCTGGGTCCTCATCCGAGATTGCTATAACATGAAATATATGGCAGAAAGCCGGTAAAACAGAGCAGGGGACATACAATTCTCCCCCAAGGAGTTCAGTCACAAATTTAATTAACATTTTTTTAAGAAGCATCATCAGCATGGAAGCATGTCCTCTGGAATGATGGCCGAAGCGTGCAGGGGCATACAAATGTTTAGCATATCTGGCACATAAATACTTTGCAATGCCAGCTACAAAAGTGCTATGCTAATGCCTGTTCTCACTTTCTGGTGACACTGTAAATAAGAAGAGGGCAACATTATCTCCTGTAAATGTAAACAAACTTGTTTGTCTTAGTAATTGGATGAACAAGAAGTAGGACTGAGTGGACTTGTAGGCTCTGAAGTTTTACATTGTTTTGTTTTTGAGTGCAGTTATGTAACAAAAAAAAATTTACAATTGTAAGTTGCACTTTCATGACGAATTGCACTACAGTACTTGTCTGAGGTGAATTGAAAAATACTATTTCTTTACAAATATTTGCACTGTACAAATGATAAACTAATCAAAAATAATATACACGTTGATTTCAATTACAACACAGGATACAATATATATGAAAATGTAAAAAAAATCCAAATTTAATAAATTTCAATTGGTATTCTATTGTTTAACAGTGCGATTAGAACTGCGATTAATCACGATTAATTTTTTTAATAGCGATTAATTTGTTTTAGTTAATCACGTGAGTTAACTGTGATTAATCAACAGCCCTAGCTGCTACATCTTTCCTTCTTAACAATTTTTGTTGTTGTCTCTTTCGTGCAAGCCAGCGTTTGCTGGGGCCAGAGGATACTAGTACGTAAGCCTCAGTCCTTCAAGTGTGCTGGTCTTCGACTCTATCTCCCACTCTTGTCTGTGTTATGACTTTTGCAGGGAACTTGCTTCCACCCTATTGATGCCTTCATTCAGTTGACTGGCATACTATAGTGCTGTGTATTGCTCATATATCTTGTTTCTTCTGACCCTCCTTCCTCAGGCCAGCTGATGTCTGAGGCTCTTTGTACATCCCACTAGTCCTGGCCTTTGGCCCCTGCTGTCTGCCACTATTTAGCAGTTGTCTTCAGTTTCATCTCCGCTATTGTTCTGAGTCTGTAGCTACCTCCTATGACCTGTATCCCACTGCAGCTTGGACTGTTGCCTGTGGCCTTTGCTTTGTGTGACTATTTGATGGTTAGACCCAGAGCTGCTGACGTGTGCATAGTGGCTCAAGTCTCTGGCTCTTTTGTAGTGGAGGGCTGCCTGCTTAGCTTGGCATTCTCATAAGTGCTGTTGTGTGCTGCCTGTTGTTACTCTGCTGTGCTGCAGCAAACTATCCTTCATGGGAAGCAGGGTCTTAGTTCTCCAACCCATAAGTCTCTGTTATTGGGCTACTAGCTAGTTCCTGGGAGGGTTTATTTCAATGGTCCAACATTCCCAGGTATGGATCCCTTTCTATCTGTTTTGCCTCTGCCATCAATCTCTTGGCTGTTTTTAAAGCCAACTCTGCCTTTCTGTTGCTTTGTGGGTACTCGGGGGGCGGGGGGGAAGCTATCTTGTGCTCAGATTCTCATTTGGTGCTGAATCATTTGAATTCTGCTCTAGTAGCCCATTGTCTGAGAACAGTGTGTCAGATATGCCACATCTTGTAAAATGTACCTTCAATTTCTGGATCATAGTTCTTGCCGGAGTCCTCTAGATAGTCCACCTCTCAGAAATTGGAGTTAAAATCTCCTATGACCATGTCGTTCCTGTCATTAAAAGGAAACCAATCTATTCCGACCTTTTCCTAGGGTTGGGTTGGGATTTAATGAGGCTGTAGCATCTCCGTCTATTGATCACTACACTCTTTGCACACCTCGCACTGCTCCATGTATGCTCTCAATTCATACTTGGTCAATGTGTATACACATTTCCTGACGCGTGTCAGGCATGTCTATACCCCAGGTGTGAAGTGTGTATCCATCCGAAGATGTCAGCTCTTAAAACTGTTAGGATTACTGCTTGGTTCCCTTTGAACAAAATCCTGTCTTGCTCATCCCTCACCTGAGAGTCAGGAGTAACCTCTGGCCAACCCTGAAGTCTGAACAGTTTTGTTGCCTGTAAAACCTCATCCTGTTCAGTACTTTGCTGGATTGCCTGGGAGCTCCCATCAGAGATTTGACAGTATTGTACGTTGTAGCATGATGGCAGACTATCTTCTGTTCCACCGAGCTGAGAAATGACTTGCAGGTGGAAATGAAATCTCTTTTGGAGCAGGAACTACAAAGTGTCTCAATAGATTGGGAAGTCCACTTGCAGAGCTCCTCGTCTGGAATGGCAAGATGGCTTGATGAAGTGACCAGCAACCTGACTGCCATGGACCAGAAGGTTTGGACTTCATTATAGCTTAATAACAGTGTAATAAATGCCAAGAATGGGGTCTTACAAGGTTAGGGTTACAAAATCAGTCTGGAAATTCCCTTTACAGATGTGGCTCAGGTGAGGAAAATGATATGTAGGCAATTGGTTTGCCGTTAACAAGTTGTCCTGCTTCCAGGATCAGAAACAGTAATAACAGCTATATGCTGTGGTAACTTTACATCAAGAGAAAGATGAGGAGTGGTTGTGACCTGCTTTGAGATCCAGATTCTCAGGGAAATCTTAGCGGCTAAAGCTGTTGTGAATCTGAAGCAGGAATACATTTGTGTTTGTTTGCTGAATGTTTCTGAAAAACAGTAAAAACAGGAACCATGGTTGCAAAATGTGAACCAGTGGATCTGGAAATGCTGGTATAGAAGGAAAGCTACAAAGGGGAAGGGATGCAGTTTTTGTTGGTCTTGTTTCAGCATTCTGCCGGAACATTTCAATGAGGAGCAGCAGAACAGTCTAAGGGACTTTCTGTTAGGAACCAGGAGTCCTCCTAGTCCAACAAAGAGAAAAGTAGTACTGTTCTGGGCCAGCGTAAGATTGATACTGAGGGGAAATGACCCGTTACGCAGCCACTTCATCATTTCCCAATAGCAAAGAGAAAAGAGTGGTTACATTTCCTCAATGGCCTATATCAGGAAAGCATAGCTGAGCCTTCAACCAGTCCTTGGGCCATACCCAAAGTTCTGGTTAAGACAAAGATGATAGCACCAGATTGTGTGTGGACAACAGAAAATTAATTTAAGTCACTTTAAAGGACACTTATCCATTACCATGAATAGGTGATACTCTGGATGCTCTAGTGGGTTCTATATAGTTTTCCACACTAGGTTTTAAAAGTGGTATTGGCAAGTGGAAGTGGATCCAAAAAACGGGGGAAAACTGCTTTCCCTGTGGCAATTGATGACTTTTAGCTTGTGCAATGCATCACCCTTTTGAGAAGTGAATGGACAGAGTATTCTATGGCATGCCATTCTCCATCAGTTTGCCATACCTAGATGATATCCTGCTGCTAAAATCTTTGAACAGGAACGGATATATTTGCAAGTGATCTGTGAGAAGATTAAAGCTGCCAATCTAAAATTGAATCAAAAGAAATGCAAGTTGTTCCAAAAAGAGGTAATTTACCTTGGGTGTACAGGTAGTTTGGGGTGTGCGAGATTTCCATAGAAACCAAAGAAAATTGAGATTATGCAGAACTGGCTAACTCCTCAGACAATCGCACATCTGCAGTTTTGTAGGGCCCTTCTCCTAATACAGAAGGTTCATTTGTGGATTTGCTTATATTGCAAAATCACTACATAGAGTGGATGAGAAAGGGAAAACATTTCAGTGGTCAGCAGAATGTACTTTTCAGGGTGATAAGGGTGTTCGTGACAGCTCCTGTCTTGGCCTATCCATATTTCAAAACCCTTTTCATATTGGATGCAGATAGCAGTGCTTACTGATTGGGGTTAATATTGACCCAAGAAAACAAAGGACTTGAGAGGGTGGTGGCTTATCTTTCTCCAGAGAGAAATTATTTCCCCACCTGAAATAAACTCTTGGCAGCGGTTAAATCTATAGAACATTTTCACCATTTGTACTGAAGGAAATCTGTGGTCTGGTCAGGGCAGACCTCGCATCTCTGCAATGATGCTTTAGATTTAGGATCCTGAGGGGCAACTTGCCAGGTGGCTGGAAAAACTGCAGTGTTAAGATTTCACAGTCATGCCCTTTAGTCATGCTAATGCCTTGTCCAGTGGTCCTTGTTGGGAGGCTAATTGCAAACACTGCCCTTACTCAAGAGAGCAAGGAATTAGTTGCTCAAGGAAATGAGTGTGCTTGGAAAGACATGGCTGTCTCCTCTCTTCCATAACTCGCAGAAGTGCAAAAGTTCCTGGTTCACACACTGGACAGTGGATATGGGTGTCCAAGAGTAGACTTCAGAACAAATAAAAGCTTCCTAGAAAGAGGATCCTGATATCAGAATAGTGTGTGATTGGAAAATCATTTGGAAAACACAGCCAACTTGAAAGGTAACATGCCCCTCAAAATACTACAGTAAAAGCTTTCTGGTCAGAGTTGCAAAGCTTGGAGTTCAAAAATAAAATATTGTATAGGTGCAAAAGGAAGATAAAACTGCCACAATGAGGCCAAATTTTGCTCGTCTAAAACTGGAGTAACTCCACTGACTTATTTCTGTTTTACATTAGTATAAGTGAGAGCAAAATTTGGCCCATAACACCTCCTAAAATAGCTTTCCTAGCTATATCCCCACATATAATCACACTGTTAAAGTGGTATCTCTGTCTACAGTATCCTGAAAGGATAAGACTGATGAGTTTTACCTTACAATTACTGCTGACATCGGGGTGTCCTTGATGTTCAATCTGAATTGCCTGTATTTCTCAGCAAGCCTGTTGGAAATATTTCTTTTCCAGAGTGGTACGTGGTCTGGCTCTGGTGAAAGATAAAGCTCACGGTGTAGCCCCTTACCAGTTAAAAGATTTTCAAAGCTGAAGCTGTGGAAACCTGAACTCAAGCAAGAGAGAAATTAAAAATATAGAACCTTCAGTTCTCTTGGCCAAGATTTTTTGTCACCAACAGTGATTTTAGCTGCCTCAGTGTTTGGGGGACTAACTTGTGACACCTTAAAGAGAGCCCAGTTTTCAGAAAGCACTGTGCACCAGCTCCTTGGAAAGCAGGACCGCTTAAAGTGTCACAAATTGGGCACCAAAAATCACTAGTCATTTTTGAAAATCTTGGCCCTCAAACATATTTAAAATAATCTATTGCAGCACAGAATCTGCTTCTTTATATGGAGTGGCTGTGTTGGCAGAGACTCTTAAATCTATCCAGGACTGATGCCTGTCATGAAAAGTGCCATCTTACAATTTTTAATAACCAGAAGTAGTTGGAAACTTTTTCTTCTATTTTATGTTGAAGACAGCACCTCTAGTAGCTGAGAGCCCCTCTATACCAGACTAATGTATTGTACTGTACTGACAACAGGGGAAGCTTTACACTGAGTGAGCAACACCACTTTCAGCAGCATCTAGGTTAGTATTAACCTGGCTTGACCCTGTTTAGTTTGTAAGTACTAAGGAGATCACAGACCTAAGTGCCAAGTATCAGGGGGTAGCCGTGTTAGTCTGTATCTACAAAAACAACAAGGAGTCTGGTGGCACCTTAAAGACTAACAGATTTATTTGGGCATAAGCTTTCGTGGGTAAAAACCTCACTTCTTCGGCTGCATCTGAAGAAGTGAGGTTTTTACCCACGAAAGCTTATGCCCAAATAAATCTGTTAGTCTTTAAGGTGCCACCAGACTCCTTGTTGTTTTTACAGACCTAAGTGGTATGGCTGCAAGCAAATGAAATGAAATCCGAATATAAGTTTGGGATTTTTTGGCTTGTAGCAATGATACTTTAAGCAGCAGTATTAAACGTCACTTGTCCTGTTTGAATTCTGCTTTCTGGACCTGTCCTAATAAGTATTTCCCTCAGCAACCATCTTTGCATTATTAATAACTAACTCAATTTGGCTTGCTAGAGTAAGAGCTTTCCTTAATATGTCCGACTAGGTTCAAGTAACAGTCTTCCATGAATTCATGTAAGGTTTTCCCACTAATTTGGTTTCTAAGCATGTCATCAATCTTATCACTAAATTCACATGGTTAGATGCTTGTTCCCTAATGCAGAGACTAAGGCACAGCTGTAGAGAAGAAAGACCAAAAAAGTGGAGCAGAAATAAAACTACGCATGAAGATGAATATCAATAGTCCACAGCACAAGGAGTGAGAATGAAGAGAGAGACATTTATCTGTTGCATTTAGAAGAATTTAGACAGGGGATTTACAGGAATAGTGGAAGTTTGAGTTTGCTGGAGCTCCATGACTGAGGTAACAAAATAATGACTATGGGTGAAATACTATAATTCCTGATTGGTCTTTGCTCAGGCAAAGATATCATTAAAGTCAACCACTGTCATCAGATCATGCAATGGGCCAGCACTGTTACCAACTCCTGTGATTTTTATTGTGAGTCCTGTGATATATGGATTTTTTTTTTAAAGCCCTAGTTCCTGAAGTCATGCCATTACATGAGAATCACAGCTATCATTCTTTTTTTTTTTTAATAGTAGTATGTTCCTAGCCCTCATGGTTGTGGAGAGAAGTTGGAAAATGTGACCCCTAAATCAGAATGCAAATACAAAGACCCCAAAATGTATTATTTTTAAAAATCATATGATTTTTTTGTGTGGGTGCTGACTCATTGTTGAATCGAGCCTGGCAGTACAGCAAAAGGGGGAAATTATTTGAGAATCATTCACTTATCAGTGTGTAGTAATACAATATTTCTGCTCTAACCACACTATTTAATCATGTCCATAGGATAATAGTTAAAGCTTTAAAAGGTTTTTTTTTAGTAAACATATACTTTAATAAAGGGAAATTTGTTTTATATTATCTGTGATGGAGGGAATAGAATACAGAAGAGCTTTGCAATACTCTGCTAAACAGCTGCTGCATTCTGCTCTAGAGTTGGCTGCATTTTAGTAGTGGGTGATGTGATCCTTCTATATAGACCTGATCTCATACGCTGATCTAAACAGGTAGGGATCTCTCTATTTGTTTAGAGCCCCACTTACTTCAGTAAGGTTCCATGCAGGCATAAGCCTTAGCCAGCACCGAGCAGCTTGCAGAATCAGGTCCACAATTTGTGATTCTGGATCCCTTTGGATGAACTGTGTAGAGCACTTTAAGGACCTGATTTTTGGAGGTATTGCACATCCACAACTCCCATTAAAGCTAAACATTGCTGTGAGTGCTCAGCATGTTTGAAAGTCATGCCATAAATGTATATTATTTTTTGTAGAAGGTGTGGCTCTGTAATAATAGCGTCAACCATGGTTACCTGAATGTCTTTGATATTTTGATCTAACTTTATGGTTAGCACCATTAATATTTAATTTCTTTCAGGAGCTGAATATTGTTGGGGTCTTCACCACCCCAAAGACATTTTTCTACTGAACATTCAAAGATCGTAAACCACAATCATTTTACTATAGTATCATATATATTAATTTATCTTAGGGTAAATGTAAAGTTGATAAATATATTAAGGTAGTGGTTTTCAAACTGGGGTACATATATCCTTAGGGGTACGCAAACTCTGTAATGGTGGACACCGCATTTTATTTAGTAAGAGTTGGCAATCTAATCATAGGTATATTCTGACCCTATCTCAGATGGGGGTAGGTGGTAGACTACATTATTTGGAAAGGGGTATGCAGCCTAAAAAGTTTGAAAACCACAGTATTAACTGGTGCTTCTTTTTAATGGATGTGTTGTCATGTTTTTACACGTTCCAGGGTAAGAAAAATGAAATATATATTGAACAGCAATGTAAAAAACAAATGATATTTAGAACACCTTTAGTCAGTGAACTTCTTGTTCCTTGTTTAGAATAGGAATAGGATCCTTTTGAGATATACTCAGATCAGCCCATGTTGAATTGAGAAATTGTTACAGTATTTTAGGAGAAGGGGCAACTTGTATTCTGCAGCCAGGAAGAGACTAAAATTAGAAATTAGCAAATTTGGTGTTAAGGTCACTTGACCTGGAAAAAGCTATAGGATCGCATCTCTGCTTTTCCCTAGATAGTAGTGAAAGCAGCCAACTCATTCTGCCATTGGATATTATGGACTGACATAAATGTTGCCTTTGTGGGAGCTGAGTATGGAGTACTTGTTTTATGTAGGTGTTTTTTTCTTTTTTTAAATGGTTAGGCCGCAATTCTGCCTTCTGTATATCTTAGTGACACTTTCAGTAAATTATTCCTTTAGTTAGGGATAAGGAGGTTAGTAAATGTCTGGTTAGTTAAACTACTTTATTGGGTGTGTCTGATATTCTAATTAGGATCTGTTCTGATCCCATGGTTCTTTGGTACTGACCAGAGATGGGCCTAAGCCACACAACCTGAATCTGGATAGGATTCAGATTTCAACCCAGAGGTAATGGGATGTTTAAATTTGGTGTTCCTGTTGAGACCCATCTCTACTACTGATTTAGGAACTCAAGCAATTCTCCTGATCTCCATGTTTGAGGAAGAGGAGAACAAGTTGAGCTCTCCATTCCCTACAAAGAACATTCATATAATCATTCAAATAAGAAACTCTGAAGACTTCAGAAAAATGAGTTCCATCTGTACATGTATTTTACAGGTACCTTGAATACAGCCTTACTTTCTCCTTCCTTGGGAAGAGACAAAATTCCTTATACTTGGACTTTTGTTCTACTTTAAAAATCAAAACACTATTTCCCTATTTGATATTGATTCTGAAGCCCAAGGATAATGTTTTAGTGACTGCATCTAGAACTGCCCGTTCAGATCAGAGCGTTTTCATCTTTGATAGTGAAAGGGCAGAATCAATAAGATCTGGGCTCTTTATCAGCCGCCTCAATCAGTGGTGTGAGGTAACTTGTGTTCTGCCATTAACATAGACTTTTTTCCTTTGTAAGGTGTAGTTGAGAAGGATGTCCATTCTCCCCATTCCAACCCACCTGCCTCCTGAAACTCATTTGAAATTTCTGGCAGTAATCTCTCAGGATTTAAAATCTCTTTTAGCAAGTCAGAGGTATTTTGTTAGTTGCACCCTCCAAAGTCCTTGATTCACAGGTCCTTTCCTTTCACACATTCTCACAAGTGTTTTGTGGATTGGAGTGTCAAGTTTAATGTTGCTACTTAGAAAAGTACAATTGGATTTGTCCAGATGGACACTCACAGGTCTCCTTTTATAGGCAGGATTAATTTTATTAAAATATAATCCTCCCATTCTTACATTAGTCCCTTCCGGCATTCTCTTTTAATCTTTTGCAAAGTAGCATTAAAACAATCACTGACATTGATTAAGAATTACATTAAAATGCAGACACACCTTTTTAGGCTACAGCTGCTGAGAAAAAATGAACCTGGGATTTCCTTTTCTTAGATTCAATCTCCAAGCCAATCAGATATGATAAGATGTGGCTACACTAGTCATTTGAACATTATCATTAAAGGGGAATATAGTCATCTCTTAATGCCCAAAGAATTGCTTCTATTCTGTAAGGAAGTCTCTGCCCCCCAACCTTAAAACTAGTTGTTTGTTGTTCCGTAGTCTTGCTTTGGAGGAAGATCTACAGAAATTTCTGATTTGCCAATTCATATAGGGTGAAATTCACCCCCATGAAACAGAAGAGCAATGCATCACTTAAATCCCACTCAAACTACAGCTCAAGTAGTACCTAAGCTTTGGGCAGGCTCTTGGCAGAGGAGTGAGTTTCACCCACATTCCTTTTAGCTTGTCGAGATACTTCTTTCTTTTTCTACTTTTTAGGAAGTATTTGATACATACCTATTTGGGATTTCTTTCTGACCAAGATTTCGGTGACAATGTTACTCTGTCTCTATCTCTTTTATAATTTTTTACATTATGAGTTGCAAGAAAATTAGAAATCTTTGTTCATCTTATATTAGGTTTAAGTGTCTAGACATCTCTATTACACTATTCATCTCAAAATAGAGATTCTCAAGTTTCCAAAATAGTCAGGCAGTTAAAAGAAATGCCCATTCACTGCAAAAAAAATCTTTTGAGTTGGTCCTGACGTCTTGGAGAATATTTCAGAATAAATAGTTTCCCATTACACCATCATGTGAAAGTCCACATGTAGGTGGAAGATGTGTGAAAGTTAAATATGCCCATGTCCTATTGCAGAAGGAAGACCAAAAGATTTTGGCTGCTTTGTTTGTTACAACTGTCTTGTCATTGCTATTTGTTTGCTTGTAAGTTGAGGATATTAAATAAACAGGCTGAGCTCAGTGCTGAAGAACATGAGAGTCTCTCTTTTCTTTCTTCTGAAGGTGGAAGACACACCTCTTTCAGGGGCTTGGCTGGATTCGGATATCAGCCTCTGTCACTTTTCATAGGCTCAGCACCTTCATGGGATGGTTTTGGTAGCATCCTCAGCTCACTTAATATGCAACCTGCTAATGCATATGTAGCAGGATTGTAATTAAACATTATAGTTATACTGCTTTTGTCCTTGTGGCAAGAAATTCTCATTTTTTCAAGTTGGAGTTTTAACTTTTTATTCAATTCATTTACTGAGTTATCCCCTTGGTTCCATCCAGACTTAATAACAATTTAACGTCTGTTTCAAATGGGTCCAAATGCTCCTATTTTCTAAAAAAAGTCTTTCAGCTTTAAGTGCTTTTAAACTTAAATGATTCTTAGAATCTTTGAACTTAAATCGTCATCGAAGGTATTGTCTTTTCTTCTTAACAATCTTTTGAGAGGTTCTTCTTGTCTTCCTGAGTTTAGTAAGGAGGTTGCTTAAGCATTGCCAGATTGCTAATTCCTCAATTAATATAAACATGCTAATACTCAAATGGCTTCTTATAGTAGTAACCAGTTATAGGAAAGTTCATTTGATTACATATTGGTACATAAATCATCTCACTATTCATGTCACAAGGATATCAGGAAATTGTTACATTAAATGCTTACATTCAGATCCTAGCCAATTGCAAAAGAACATAACAAAAAGAAGCTTACAACATCGTAAGCATTTAAGGAATAAATGAAGGATTCTTACTGGTGCCTGGAGTTCTTAGAAATGGCTCAGCATATTCACACTTACGGGTACTGCACTGCCTTGTGGTGCCTTATGGTAGAACCTTCTCCCAGCAGTGTCTGTTAGCATGCTTTGGCACCCCCAGCCTTTCCCCTCAGCATCTCGGAAGGTCCTGAGAGCAAGGCTATATAAGGGGTGCAGCACCCGCTATCACCTCAATTCCTTCCACTGCAATGGCAGAGAACAAAAAGTGACTATGACTCTGACAAAGAGGGGGAGGTGGGTGGGAAGTGTGAATATGCAGCGCCATCTCAAAGAACTCCAGTTACAAGTGAGTAACCTTCATTTCTTCTTTGAATGGCTCTGCATATTCCCACTTACGGGATAGACTGATAAGCAGTGCTGAAAATAACATGGAGCTAGGCACAGAGTTGTAAATGAATAGAGACTGCAGCACCGCTCTAACAAATTCAACATCTGCATTAGCAGCCAAGTCCAAAGCATAATGCGTAGTGAAAGTTGTGAACAGAACTCCAGGTAGCAGCTCTGCAAATCCCCAGAGCAGAGACTTGTTTAATACAAACAAAAATGATTGCCACAGCTTTAGTGGAATATGGATGTATTGTCCCAGGTATAGGAGTCTCTGCCAACAAATAACATTCAACAATAAATAGCTTAATTCATCTAGAAATGGTCTGGGGAAAAACTGTATATCCCATGTGATTTTTAGAACAACAAAAACAATCTGGATGATTTATGAAAACTTTTAGTTCTGTCTAAATAAGAAGCAAGGACCAGCCTTACATCCAAAGTATGTAAAGTCAATTCAACCTTATTAGAATGTGGCTTGGGTGAAAAAACAGCGAATTAATGAACAGATTGACATGAAAATCTGAAACTACCTTTGGCAAAAACCTGGGATCAGGCTAAAGAACCACTATCACATGGAAAATAGTGAATGATGGATCAGCCATAAGAGCATTTAGCTCACTCACCCTTCTGGCAGATGTTATAACAATAAAAGCCATTTTAATAGATAAACAATGTAAAGAACACTCAGCAAAAGGTTCAACGGGTGGTTTCATCAGCCTGGCTACAACCAAATTGAGATCCCAAGGAAGGAAAGTATGTCTCAAAGGAGGATGCACAGATAAGCCCTTCATCCATTTCTTAATGGCATTATGTACAAACAATGATCTACTATCAAATAAAGTATCTACTATCAAACAAAGGCAGAAATGGCTGCCAAGTGAACCCTTAACGATGAATTAATCCTTCATCTTTAAAAACATTAAAATATTCTAGTACACAATGTATGGATGCTGAAGCAGAAGAACCACCCTTTCCAGTCATCCAAGTCACAACTCTGGTCCATTTTGACTTGTAACCATGTCAGGTTGACTGCTTCCTAACATTAAGCAGCACATTGCAAACAGCCAACATGTAACTCACAAGCCAAATGCAGCTACAGCCACCTTCATCTTTAACATGGAGGGTGGCCTGTGGAGATGACGGTTCCCAGCATATGGTGTTACACCTTGATCCAAGTGGTATCACATGATAGGACTAGTCATTACCAAAGGCCGTGCTTCATCGGTAAAGAGGAGGGCACCTGTAATCTCCACTCCATTTCGTATATTTTAGGTGCTGTTATTCCTGTGCTATTGGCAACTGACATCTCTCCCTCAGAAGCAAGGCAAAGTTTTGGCGCCTGCCTGCCCCATAACTATAGATTATATACAAATGTATATACATACATTCTCCTTCCTCCTCACTAGCGCACTGATAAAGCAGCTCCTTCAGCGGATCCTGCAGTTTGCAGTGAAGTCTGGATAGTTTTGTAAACATTTTGTAGATATCCTCCTCCTTGTTACAGGAGTTAACTTTCTGACACCTTCCTAGTGGGGGCAGTTTCAGGAAAGCTCGCTCCCCAGACATCCTTCTTGAAGCGAGATGGCCCTTTATTTCATGGGACAAGGTAAGTAAACACTCTTGCAAGGTAGGCTGAACTCTCCTCTCTCCTTTACAGACAGGCTGAACAAAGTGCCCAGCTGGTGGGAATCGGGCTCTCACATCCTTGGCCTTGCTGCTTTGGATCACAGAAGTCACAATAGTTCTGTGACATCACAAAAAGACAGTGGAAGGAGGAGAATGTATGCTCCAACACACTAGATAGTGGGCTCAGGAGCTGAGTGGTTACATTCTATTGCTTCATGTTCTAGGACTAATACTGGGTCCGTAACATCAAGTGGACTCTGACAGTTGACATTGCTATCTCCTCCTTCTAGACTATGAGCTCCAAGATCTTTTAATTTCCTGTGTTATAAGATGAATAGTTATAGGTAGTAGTAATTTGGATTATTAGTAGGATTTGATTATTAGACAGTTTGGTTTTGTGATGACCGGGAAACCCGCATGGTTAATTGCCTACTGGGCCCAAAGGTTGTGGATCTCATGAGACCGCTAGATAGATGTACGTGCATTGCTTGGGAGGAGCCAGTGGTCATGATGCATGTGGGTACCAGTGACATAGGGAAAGGTAGGTGAGAGGCTTTGGAGGCCAAATTTAAGCTGCTTGGTAAGAGATTAAAGTCCAGGACCTACCTCCATGGTAGCATTCTCTAGACTGCTTCCAGTTCCACACGCAGGGCCAGAAAGACAGGCAAAACTGCAGGGCCTCAATGCATGGACGACACGATGGTGAAGGGAGGAGGGGTTTAGGTTTATTAAGAACTGAGAAACCTTTTGGGTAAGGAGGAGCGTATGCAGGAATGATAGGCACCACTTAAACCAAAATGGAACCAGATTGCTGGCATGTGACATTTAAAAAGGTCATAGAGGATTTTTTAAACTAAGGGCTGAGGGTAAGCTGACAGGTATGCAGCAGTACACAGTTCAGGCGCAGAAATCCCTTAGCAGAGGCCCGACTTTCTAATGTGCCTGGGTGGTACTCCCCCTGGCTCTGCCCCCACTCCACCCTTTCTTCCAAGGCCCCGCCCCACCTCTTCCTGCCCCTGCTCCTCCCCTTTTCTCACCAGCACTTCCTGCATGCCATGGAACAGCTGATCGTGATGGGTGGGAGGCGCTGGGAGGGACGGGGAGGCACTGATCGGTGGGGCTGCCAGCGGACGGGAGATGCTGGGGGGAAGAGAGGGAGGAGGAGCTGATGAGTATTTTAAAAAAAATAGTATAGTAGTAGGAATATACCACCTGACCAGGATGGCGAGAGTGATTGTGAAATGCTCCAGGGGATAAGAGAGGCTACAAAGGCAGAAAATGAAGTAATAATGGGGGATTTTGACATCCTCATATTAACGGGGGATTTTGGCTATCCTTATATAGACTAGGTATATGTCACCTCAAAAATTTCTAGACAGAAATGAATGCCTGTAGGAGCAGCTCATCCTGCAACCCATAAGGGGAGAGGCAATTCTTGATTTAGTCCAAAATGGAGCACAGGTTCTGGTCCAAGAGGTGAATATAGCTGAACCACTCAGTAACAGTAACCACATGCATCTGACGAAGTGGGTATTCACCCACGAAAGCTCATGCTCCAATACGTCTGTTAGTCTATAAGGTGCCACAGGACTCTTTGCTGCTTTTACAGATCCAGACTAACACGGCTATCTCTCTGATACTAGTAACCATAATGTAATTACATTTAACATTCTTGCAGGGGGGAAATGCCAAAGGCACCCACCCATAGTAGCATTTAACTTCAAAAAGGGAAGCTACGCAAAAATGAGGAAGTTAGTAAGTGGAAATTAAAAGAAAGAGCCACAAGGGTGAAATGCCTGCACTCTGTATGGAGACTTTTAAAAAAAACACCATAATAGAGGCTCAAACTAGACATATTCCCCAAATAAATGTTAACATAAAAACAGTAAGAGGGCCAAAAAAAATGCCACCATGGCTAAACGGCAGAGTAAAAGAGGCAATTAGAGGCAAAAAGGCATATTTTAAAAATTGGAAGTCAAATCCTAATGAAGAAAATAGAAAAAGGTATTAACTCTGGGAAGTCAAGTGTAAAAATAGAAGAAGGTGAGCCAAAAAAGAATCTGAAGAGTAATTCGCTAAAGACACAAAAACTATCAACAAAAAAATCATTTGCATTAGAAGCAGGAAGCCTGCCAAACAGTCATTGGGGCCCCTGGACGATTGAGGTGCTAAGAGAGCACACTAGGAAGGCAATGCCATTGCAGAGAAGCAAAATGAATTCTTTACAACGGTTTTCTCTGCCGAGGATGTGGGAGAGATCTCTACATCTGAGCCATTCTTTTTAGGTGATAAATCTCAGGAACTGTCCCAAACTAAGGTGCCAATAGAGGAGGTTTGGAACAAATTGACATACTAAACAGTAATAAGTCACTGGGACCAGATGGTATTCACCCAAGAATTTTGAAGGCACTCAAATATGAAATTGCAGAACTACTATCTGTGCTATGTAACCTATCACTTAAACCAGCCTCTGTACCAGATGACTGAAGGGTAGCTAATGTAATGCTAATTTAAAAAAAAAAAAAAAAAAAAGGGGCTCTAGAGGTGATCCTGGAAATTACAGGCCAGAAAGCCTAACTTCAGTATGAAGCCAATTAACTGAAACTATAGTAAAGGACAGAAATATCAGACACAAATAAAACATGATATGTTGGAGAAGAGTCAACACAGCTTTTGTAAAAGGAAATCAGGCTTCACCAACCTATTAGAATTCTTAGAGGGGGTCAATAAGCATGTGGACAAGGGTGATCCAGTCCATATAGTATACTTGGACTTTCAAAATGCCTTTGACAAGGTCCCTCACCAGTGGCTCTTAAGCAATGTAAGCAGTCATGGGATGAGAGGAAACATCCCCTCATGAATCAGTAACTGCTTAAAAGATCGGAAACAAAGGGTAGGAATAAATGGTCACTTTTCACAATGGGGATAGGTAAATAGTGGGGTCCCCCAACGATCCCTACTGGGACCTGTGCTGTTCAACATCTTCATAAATGATCTGAAAAAGGGGAGTGAACAGTGATGTGGCAAAATTTGCAGATACAAAATTACTCAACATAGTTATTTTATCTCCCTGTGGGAAAGCATAAGAGCAACTTGTTAACAGCAGAAACAAATTATTTTTTCATTCTCTTAACTCAGAAGTGACTGACACAATTTTTCCTCAGCTTTTCAGGAGAAATAATTTTTAAGTAGAGGAGAAACTTGGAAAAATTCATCCCCAAAGAGAGAAATTGTGGATAGTTAAAAGTACATGAAAACAAGGTTATAATGGAAATGATTATGAAACCTTAATTAGGCTGGTCAGTGTTAGTGACTGCTTTGTTAATAACTGAAGGAAAAAAATTGGGCAAACATGCAAGTTATTACAACCTAATAAATCTTGTGAGAAAGAAACTGGGGTGTTTTTTCCTTGCATATGTATTGGACCAATTCTACCATGCCAGCTTTTATATGACAGCCTCTGGGCAGGTCTACACTTAAAACACTGCAGTGGCACAGCTTCAGTGAAGATGATACTACGCTGATGGGAGAGCTTCTCCCATCGTCATAGTTAATCCACTTCCACGAGAGGTGGTAGCTATGTTGGTAGGTCAAGCCCTCCCGTTGACATAGTTCTGTCTACACCGGTGGGGTTAGGTCGGTATAACTGTGTCATTCAGGGGTGTGGATTTTTCATACCCCCTGAACAATGTTGTTTTACCAATATAAGTTTGTAGTGTAGACCTGGCCGCTCTGTGGTCATTGTCAGTTTCTTCCAATTCTGAAGACCCTGATCAAGTGTGAAACATAAAGATTGATTTGTTTTATATTTAGGGTTGTTTATCTCACAAAGTAACTGTGGAGTGGGGCTAAGAGCTGGGGAACATTTATTGGTTTAAGGAGTAGTCGTGGGATAATGGAGCCTTTTCATTGAACATTTTAATTCCACTCACTGACCATTTAAAAAAAAAAAAAAAAAAAAAGTGTTTAGTAACCATGAGAACACACCTAGCTCTTTAAAACTCAAAATATAACTATTTCTACCTATGAAAACAACAATTTTCAGATGTGTGCATGCTAAACATATAGCCCAGCCAAAATGGCTTGCCCACAATCTAAAAATAATGTAGACCATAATATATTCTTCAGGTGTTCATTTACCTATTTAGTGTAAATTCAGTCTGAACAGCGTGTACTATCAGTCTAATATAACATTGCTGCAATCCACATATTAATTGAAACCCTAAGCTGTAAGTCCTCCTTAGACCTTTTGATTGGGTCATAATGTCTTGGTGATTGATGACAGAGTAAAGGTCTGAAGAACAGAGTTCTGATAAACTTGTACTTATAAAAAAGTATACAGCAGCACATTGTGAGATTATTCAATTGTAATCATGATTTATGATTTGTTATGCTGTCAGGAAACAAATGTTCAGACTCAGCTTTTATGTTATCATTCATCAATTTTATTATACTTTCAGGGTCTTAACTTGATTTATTATTGATATTTTTAGGATGTGGAAGTGGTGTTTTAAGCGAACATATATTCCACCCTCCCCAACAGATAGCAATAAACTCTGAACTGCTACATATTTTGTTTCTGTGATTTGATGGCAATATTCCATGTATTTAAACTTAAGATATATCATTAACTTAATTGATCCCATATGCATAGTCCTTGTCGAATTTTCTCTGCTCTTCTAGTCAGGCTCTTCTAATCATGCCATTATGGCAGATACTATTTTTTGTACTAAAGGCAACTGTTGTATTCTCTCTCAACACTGAACCTTCCATTTATCCTGCTCCTTATTATAAAGCAGTGGGGTCTCAGCCACAAAGAGATTCAGCAATGTGCAAAGAGAGAAGATGATCTCAAGAATATTTGATCACGCTGCTTGGAGGACAACATTTTATTCCAGGACAATAGAGTTGATAGATTTCACTATGAGGAAGAGGATTCCAGACAGTGTTTTAGTGCCAATGAGCATTAATTTCAATTTAACTGAAACTGTGGGCTTTAAAATAAAGCATAAAATATTATTGACTAAAAAAAGTAGAGATTGATATTAGTAAGTATCTGAAGAACAGGGAATACATTTACATGGAGCTTAGTAGGGATTTTAATAGCGTTTCAGATACAACATTAATATGAAAAGTCAAGGAAATTTGTAGGGAGCAACACTACAAATATAAATCTAGTTGAGTAGAAGAATGCAGACAAATAGTAAATGGAAACAATTAGACATGGAGAAAGGTAACAAGTATTGTCTTCCACTACTTGTTGTTGGGACTAATTCTATTTACATAATTCTCTTGGAGTGAGAACAAATTGCGTAGTATTGAAATTCACTAATAGAAGGAACAGTGGACTCAGATGAGAGAAGTACACAACTGCAAGAGGTTCTGAAGATTTAGTTGTGGTGTGGCAGTGGATTTATTTTGTGCAGAAACATGTTTAGTCTCAGCTAAGCTCTCACACCCACTTCATTTATCACTCCTCAAAAAAAAAAAAAAAAAAAAAAGAAGGGGGTGGGGAATAAGCATGTTGCATCACAAAACAAACATTTTTTTCAAAAGATTATAAAGGAGTACAAAAAACTGGCAGTTAGCAAAAGGGAAATATAGTCCCAACCTTCTCTATCATCATTTCCAGCAATAAATACTACTACAGTATAGGAGAATCCCAATTTCCTTACTATGTAAAAGAATAAGCACAACTGCTACAAATGATTTAACTTCTTCTGAAACTGTTTGCAACTCCAAACACTTGATTTTTTTTACAAGTGCCATCCACACAAATTGTATCCCAAAACACTTTGTGCAGACTACAGAATACAGTAATAGAATTAAAATAAAAAGTAGCATCTGTGGCAAAGAGAAGAGACATAGGCAAAGGAAGAAAGTATGTTTGAAATGGAATGTGAAGTTAGATTTGGTGTAAATTCCTAGACAGACCTACAGTTTAGTCAATGAAGAGACCTGTTACTTACTTTACAGTACCTGTTGTTCTTCTAGATGATTTCTCCATGTGGATCCCATTCTAGGTACGAATATGCTCCCACTGCCCAAGATTGGATTTTTTTTTGGCCAGTAGTGTCTGTTGGGGCCATACATGCACTCTACATATCCATGCACCCTCCACTCAAAGGCATAAAGGGCATAGCAGCCCCAAATGCCAATACAGAAGAGAATTCCAAAGCTAAAGGACTTTGCATTAGTGTGGAAGAAGGATGGCTCATGGGATCTGTGTGGACAAAATAATTGAAGAACCACCGTTACTTACATTACAGTAACTGTTCGAGTATTTGTTCATATGGATCCAACTCTAGGTGACTGTCTAGCAGTTGTCTCCTTAACGAGGTGAGTGCCAGGAATCCTATTTAAATAAGGACTGTAGGATTATCCTGCCAAATTGAATGTCAGGTGTAGAATCTACCACTAGGGAATAATGATTGGTAAAGGTATGTATCAAGCGCCAAATAGCTGCCCTATAGATTTCAGATCTAGAGATGCTCCTCAAATAAGCTAAGGAGGCTGCCTGAGCTCTAGGAGTGTGCTTTGATCTGAGAAGGAGAAGCTAATTTATTAAATTCATGTGAAATCCTGATAGTCTGAAAGTCACTTTGAGAATCTCAGAGGCAAAATAGCCTGCCCTCTAGACCGTCTCCAAAAGTTACAGACTGGGTGACTTGCAGAAAGACTTTATCCTAGGGAGATAATAGGAAAGGGCACTCAATGCACCATGTATGGAGTTTTGCTTCTGCAGGAGATGAGTGAGGACCTAGGTCAGTGGTTCCCAAACTTGTTCCGCTGCTTGTGCAGGGAAAGCCCCTGGCGGGCCGGGTTGTTTACCTGCCGCGTCCGCAGGTTTGGCCGATCATGGCTCCCAGTGGCCGCGGTTCGCTGCTCCAGGCCAATGGGAGCTGCTGGAAGCAGCGCGGGCCGAGGGACGTAATGGCCACCACTTCCAGCAGCTCCCATTGGCCTGGAGCAGCGAACCGCGGCCACTGGGAGCCGTGATCGGCCGAACCTGCGGACGCGGCAGGTAAACAACCCGGCCCGGCCCGGCCCACCAGGGGTTTTCCCTGCACAAGCAGCAGAACAAGTTTGGGAACCACTGCCCTAGGTAAAAATACTGGTAATAATATGTATGTACTAGTTCAAGTGAAAGTCTGAAACTACTTTGAATAAAAGTTTTTGGAGAGGTCAAAGAGTTGCTCTGTCTTGTGAAAAGAAGTCCTGCCATTAATGCCTGAATCTTGTTCACTCAAGCAGATGTAAAAGCCACCAAGAATGCCGTTTTAATAGAAAAGGTGGTATAAAATACATGATGACATAAGCTCAAATAGGTGTTCCATCAAAGATAGAAGTGCTACATTTAAGTCCTAGGGAGGGGGAATTTCCTTAACTGGTGGAAACACATGAACCAGCCCCTTCAGAAATTTAGACCCAGTCAGGTGTGAAAATACTGTGAGACCCTGAACGGGAGGGTGACATTGCTGCAAAATGAACCTTAATGGAGCTGACTGAAAGTCCTGAGAGTTTCAGGGATAACAAATGATCCAGAGTGATAGGAATGGAAGTCTCCAAGGATTGAAGAGGATGTTAAGCAGCCCATAATGAAAAATGTTTCCAGTTAGCTTTATATGTAAACCTCCACAAAACTTTCCTGCTATGAATTGGAATGTCCTGCATTGTAGAAGAACAACATATGTCTACCAAACTTAGCCAGCTATCCCATACTATCAGATGTAGAAATGATGTAGATGGGTCCAGATGTAGAATAGGCTCTGCAAAATGTTTTCTGGAAGAACTGGGAGTATGAAGATGGACAAACTTCTAGATACATTGGCTCCAAGTACCAAAACTGGTGCACCCACGATTGTGCTGTCAGAATTAATTTGGCCTTGCTCTGGCTTATTTTTCTGAGGACTCTGGGAACTAATGGAATCAGAGGGAAAATTTATATTAGATTTGTGTTCCACCAAATCAGAAATGCATCCAAAGGAAGCCTGGGTGCATTCCTCCTTGGGAGCAAAATAATGTAACACTTCTTGTTTGAGTTGGTTGCAAAAAAGTCTGTGGGGGAAACGTCCCATAAATTTTTTGTAACTGTGGGGACTGAACCTTTCAGGGTTCATTTATGAATGGAAGAGCACTTCCGGCTGACTTGGCCTACGAAACTATTCTGAACCCCAGTCAAGCGCAGGGCTATCAAACTGACAATGCCGAACTCACCACACCGATAGATGAATAATCTCCTGACACAGAGGGGATGATCTTGTTCCTCCTTGTCTGCTTACATAGTACATCACTGCAATATTGTCTATCAGGATTTGGATGGTGGTCCCTTGATGAAAAGTAAAAATGATTCACAAGCCAAATTAATGACCCTGAGTTCTAGCACTAGCGGATGGTGATGTGAACATCACACCTTGGCAGACATTTTTCAGATTCTTGCACCATAGCAGAAATGATAAAACCCCAGGGGGAAGGACTTGTACATTCATGATGTGTCTGCTTCGCAGATGGATCCATGTTAACCAACCCTGAAGAGGACACGGATGAAGTCTGGCATGCAGCATTGCATAAATGCAAAAGAATCTATGACCCAATAAACTGAGATTGATGGGTTTTTTTGAGTGTAAAGAGCTAATATGAGATGCCCTATGATGCAGAATCTGTTGTGAGGAAGGTAAGCTTGCTGATCTTGAGTTGAGAAGTGTTCCTATGAACTCTATTGACAGAATAGGAGTGAGAGCAGATTTGACTAATCCAGAGGCCTACCAAGGAGAATACATGGAGAACCACCTACACAGTCTTGGTGACCTGCTGTGGCCATTTCCCCTGAATCAATAAGTCATTGAGATAAGGATAGATGTGAAGACCTTGTCTTCACAGATGCATTACTACCACCACTAGTTGATGAACATCCTTCGTGCCACAGAAAAACCAAATGATAGCACTCGGAACTGGTAATGAATTTCCTTCACCATTACATGTACTTCCTGTGGAGTGGAGAGAAGGAGATTGGGAAGTATGCGTCCTGTAAGCTGAGAGTCGTGAACCAATCCAGTAGATCTAGGGAGGAGATTGTGGAGGCTAAAGTGACCATCCTGAACTGAAGACTATGGATGAACTTTTTGAGTCACCTGAGGTCCAATATGGGATGCTACTCTCCTTTCTTCTTCAGAATAAGTAAGTAATGGGAATAAAATCCTCTGCCCCAAAACTCAGTTGCTCTCCTTTGAATGAGTAAAAAAATCCTCTGCCCCAAACCCTCTCTATTGCACTCAGATGTAGAGGAGAGTCTTGCTCTTGCTGTCGCAGGCTGTCATGAGAGGTGTCCCTGAGAATGGAGAAAGTTGGGAGGTGAAAAATTGGTTATGACTAGAATTGAACTGAATAGCCTTTCTGGATAACTTTGAGGACCCAGCAGTCAATAGCGATTCCAGTCCATGCATCCAAAAAGAAAGAAAGATGGTTGCCAACAACAAGAGACAAGTGTTTGCCAAATGGAAGGAGGAGGAGTTATAGATCCTTTTAAATTAGTTCAAGACTGTTGACTGTGGCCACAAACTTGTGCCTTCAGGCCAGATGTTATGTGTCAAACTGCTCTTCCTCTGAAAATGAGGTCTTTTCTTAGAGGGTTCTGAGGACTTCTCGTGGTAAAATTATAATAAAGGTGATCTCTGTCTTTTAGAAAAAGACTGAGACCTAATCTGCTTTCTCCTCTGGGCTGGAGTGTATGAGTCCAGGGATCAAAATGTCACTCTAGAATCTTTTAATTAGTGAAATCCCTCATTGGTCTTTGAATTAAAAAATTCATGACCTTCAAAAGGTCCTCAATTGTAGACTGGACCCCTTTTGGAATGCCTGATGACTGCAGCCATGATGTCCTCTGCAAGGTGACAGCAATGGCCATTATTCTTGTGTCTTTGTCAGATGCATCCAGTGCTGCTAGTAGAGCCACCTTATCAATCAGCTGATCTAAGGACATGGAATTTAGCTCTACCCTTGAGTCCTCTGAAAGTTTTCCTATAAACTAGGAGATCTTGTCTCATTGAAGGTAGTCATATTTGGCTAGCTAAGCATGGTAATTGGCAATCTGAAAGCTAGTGCAGGAATACACCTTCTCCTGAATAGGTCTATTTTTTTCAAATGTTTACCCCTTGGTGTTGACTTTGGCTAACTGTATTGCTTAGCTTTCTCATGAACAGCAGCCACTGTTAAAGAGCTGGAACATGAGGAGTATAACAATACTCAAAACCTTTTGGAAGGACTCAGTATAGATGCTCTTTTTGTTTGGGAAATAGCTAAGATGGAGGCTGGGTCTGCCATAGATCCCTGACTGGTTCAAGGATACCTTTGTGTATGGGCATTGCCAATCGACCTTGAATTGCACGGTGTAATGCATCAAACTATTTATGTTACTATTCTTGTACAACTTCCAAAGGATTTCTAAGGTGTCAGCCATCCTCTTTAGGAGACCTTGAAAAGTCTTTAAATGGTCCATCGTAGATAGATTGACCACTTAATCCAGCAAAGATGAAGAAATTGTCAAAGGAATGGAAGGATACATATGATCATCATCCTCACTTCGGATTTCCTCTCCCAAATCACGAGGGTCACTCTGCCAAGATGGTTGCACTAATCTTGAAGGCTGCACAGTAGGACATGACCTATTCCTGGACAAAGGGACTCTCAAAGAATATGCAGCAGATTAATCAAGTTGAGGGTTCCAGTAAGGCCAGGACTGGTTACCATAAGGATAGGCCATATGACGCCAAAGTGGAGGAATCCATGGCACTTGTAATCTGCCAGAACTCCTGCAGTGAGAGAAAGAATGCCCTGACATCCCTTTCGCTGGTTCTTCCTCATGAACTGACCCAAAAAAAGAGGAGGCAATCCTTGGAGGACTTCTGCTGTATCTAAAGAGGAAGACTCAGAATAACAGAACAGAATACATCTTCTCTGTAGGATGTACTGATCTCTGCAGAATCTGAGGAAGTTGAAGAGAGTGGTTGAGAGATGGATATCTGTGAAGATGATGAGTGTAGAAAAATCGTCAGGGAGGAAGCTGCTGATAATAGTGAGACATGAAGATGGGGAGATTCTGGCATAGCTATTAAGTCCCCACATGTAGTAAAGGTAGCTGGACAGAAGCTAACTGCACCACACTGGTGATGGAAGCAGTACCAACTAAGTTGGTACTGGAGTGGGATGCAATGGAGAAATACATGAAGAACAGAGCTATACAGAAAGGCTGTTTTAGCTGGTCAAAGCCACAGCGATGACTCTCCATCTGGAAGAGGTGAGATTGTGTGAAGAAATGGAGTGGAGAGCTTGGTGCTTAATGAGCAGGACAGGGAGCAGAAGAAAACCTAGAGCAAGTTCTGGGCGGATATATACAAACTGGATCCTAAACAAATAAGGACCCAACTGAGTTATTTGAGAAGGAGTTATACAGTTGCTCTCCTTTTGTATGACTAAAAAATCTGGCCTTGCATTCTGTATATGCTGCAGTCAGGAGAACTGGAACGTGGAGAGGCCACAGACAAAGGACCCGCACTAGCCAAGGGGAGAGGAGATGAAGGCCTAGGTTGAGGATTTCATCCTCAGTGGTGGAACTGAGGCACTGTTGTAGCGGTGGAGCCAGGCAAACATGCAGATGTGAGACAAGGCGCACTGAGGATGAAGATGTGAAGGTGGAGAGTGTAGCAGGGAAATACTCCAGGGGGGAGGAGAAACGAAGGGAGATGGGGCGCCCCCCCCCCCTTTGGGTGACAGGCCTCTGTGGGGCCGGGGCAGCGGCTGGGCCCTGGCCCGTTCCCATAGTGATTCCCTGTGACGCGGGGCGGGGCCAGGGACGCTGCAGCGCGGGGGTGGCCGAAGCGGAGGCGGCGGTGGCGGCGGGAGGGTCCGATGCACCGGGCCGGGAGCGGGGCCGGAGCCGCCGCGATACAGACACCCGGGAGCTTCCGAGGGTAGGTGGGGGGGAGCGGGCCGCTCCAGCCCCAGGCCCGGCCGGCGGCTGCCCCCCTCTCACGCCCCTGCTCTCTCTCCCCCCAGGTTTGGCAGGAGGAGCCGGCGCTGCAGCGCTGTGGACAGAGGGGACTTCACAGGCGGCATCTATGGCACCAGCCTCCCGCTCACCAGCCTCTCCGACTCCCGCCAGGTACAGGCGCCCCGCCTCGCTGCTGCAGGAGCAGAGCGGAGCCATCGCCCCCACGTGTGCTTGGTCTGGGCGGGTCCGGGGGTGGGGGGCAGCAGCTGGTTGTTTGTCTTTGTAAATACAACTTAAACCACTGCCCTCGAGGGCACCAAACATGAGTCTACGTGCCTTAGAGCTGGGAGTCCGGGACTGTGGTGCCAGTTCGCTACTTGCTCGCTCCCTTTCCGTGGTGGTTACTGCTTGTGATCCCCTTCTTCACCTCGCTGCTTCTGCTCCGGCTCCTGAGTCTGCAGACGTGACAGCCGCCAGCTTTGACCCCCACTCAAGGTTAAAACGTGCCCCTACGAAACGGAAAGCATGAGTGGCTACAGGCTGTCACAACGAGGGTCAGGCTCTGCAGCTGATGTTGTAAGACACTCAGCGCTTCTGTGGATCAGGTGCAGAGGAGGACACACACATTACCAAACAGTGGGTTCCACAAGGACATAACTTCATGCACACAAGTAGTCTTACTGAAAAAGCCAGTGGTAATTCTCATGCTTGCAGTTACTTATGCACAAACCTAAAGCCCCAATCCCGTAATGAACCCTATACAGACAGACTCACCCTTTCATCTGGAGCCCCAGTCAAATTAATAGGACTTTGCAAAGGAAAAAAGGTCTGCCCACATGAAGCCCTGTGCAGGATCAGGACTGTGATTTGTAAATTGCTTTGGGATACTTTGATATTAAAGGCATGATATGAATGCACAATCTTATCTTTTCAATGTATTTCTTATTCTGGCACACACAATAATAATACCTAGATCTTATATATCATTTTTCATCAGTAGATCTCACAGCACTTTATTTCAGAGGTCAATATTATCCCATTTTATAGATGGGGAAAGTGAGGCACAGAGAGGTGAAGTGACTTGCCCAAGGTCTCCCAGCAGGCCAAGTGGCAATGTACCTTTACTTCATATAATTTCTCTATCCCACAGCTATTCCTGTTAACATCTCTCTCCATTCTCCATTTCCTCGCTACAGTTCATAAAGTTATTAAACCTAAATTGTCATAGTTACCATATATTTTTAGTTTCTGTGTTTTTGCACTCACTAAAACTCAAATATTGTTATAGAATATACATACCAGTGATTTGGAACATGATGTCCACCTTCCTGAAAATAAATACTGTCTGTCAGGAGACGAGACTGGCACAGGAGGTAAGGAATCCCAGCCATTCACAATTCTGTATGGAGAAAATTTTTCTAGTGGACTTTTGTAAGCAAAACGAACTGTTGATCTTTTACAGGTGTTCTTTCAAGCAAGTTGCACAAGGTAAGAGCAGAATAAATATCAGTCTTTTGACAGTAATTGAAAT